TCATTAGTAAAAACAAAATAATCCAAGTAGGTTATAAAAAGGCTATAGTCCTCAGTGATCCTGTAGAACAAGAATCCTGTACTAAAAATAAAAATCCAGTAAAAGTCCCATTATCCTTAGAAAAGAAAAATCCAGTAAATGTACCATAGTCCTTACAAAATTATAAGAGCATAGTCCATATGGAGTATTCCAAGAAAAGAAGTCCATAAAGGGTATTCCCTAGGTAACAGTCCATAGAAAATAGTCCATGCATAGTCCTTAGGAAAAAGCCCATAAATCCATAGGTAATCCAGTATAGTAAAGGTTAGTCCCATGTGTCACGAATGAATGAAGAGTCGGTCTTGAAAGACTGAAGGATCGGTATTGAAAGACAATGTCCATAGGCAAAAAGTTCCTTTTTCAAGAGTAACTGGCAAGGGCTTATCGCACCTTCCCACGATGTCATCCAATCAGAGTTCGTTACTAGGCAAACAGTCCTGTCGCATCACATGACTTCTTTCCCATACACACCAGATGTTATTTGGGTTTACTGTGGTTTCGCAAAGAGTCTCAACAATTCCCAACTAATCACACCGAGTCCTTTTCTCAGGCTATCAGAATAACATTCTCTCTGCTCGCCTAGAAAACAACCTGTCAGCATAGCAAAGATACTTTATACAAAGAAACAAGATGGAACCTCTCTGGCTCATTTCTTAATTACAAACCCCATATTCCTTAAAAGATTTTAACTCAAAAACCCATCTCATCACACTGTCAATGAAGCCATTCTGAAGAGGGAAGAAGCAGACATAGAAGACTCCATTTTGCTTGTGGCTTTTAGGATAGGCTTGCCAGAGCTCAGGGTAGTGGCTTATATTGTGTTTCTCTGGGCTTCTAGGCAGGGAGGCAAATCTGAGGGCCCGCTGTGCTGGATCTTTATGTGTGAGGTGGTTCCCAAGTGGTGCCGGGGCAGTAGCTCGTTGCATGTGAGTCCACCTTGTTTTTCTCCAAGCCCATGCCCACTCCGCCTCTGTGATATCACAAGAGTACTGCATCCCTTTTCCCTTGTGCCCTAACCAAGGACCTTTCCTGTGATAGCAGAAGGAACCTGGCCTGTGGGCTCAGGTTTTGGTCCTAAAATCTTAGAGAATGGGTTACTGGAAACTCAGCAAGCCTATGCAGGACTGAGTTCTCAGAAAAGGAAAAGAAATGTGGAAAATGTGGGTGGGTGGGTGTCATGGTTACAATTTTACAGGCTTTATTGAACATGTAACTCCCTTAGATTGCACTTGCATGCAAGAGTTGTCAAATATGCAATGCCAGCTTTCTCATTTACTAATGAATACTTTTGAAAAATTAATGAATGTATCACCTAACTAGATGAGTAATTATATGCCTCTCTTTCTCTTGCAGGTGGATTTCTAATTCCATATTTTATCATGTTAATTGTGGAAGGGATGCCATTGTTATACCTGGAGCTGGCGGTGGGACAGCACATGCGTCATGGGAGCATCGGGGCATGGAGAGCTATAAGTCCCTACCTCTGTGGGGTTGGTGCGTTCTTGTCAATTGATGCCACTGTTTGCCCATCTCTCTGTAAAAGAATCCTTGGTTCTTTGATGTTCCAACTAAAAAGAACTTATTTCATGGGCTTTATATCAGGACCAGTCCAAGACGTTTTGCTACCAGAGGCAAGGGACAAGGGTACCACTTCCTGTTCCATGTACACAACCTGACCGACCAGGCTGATAGTGGAATCCCACTTTAGAGTCAGGGCAGCATCCACCATAGCACTCCAGGGCAGTGGGCTAACTCTGAGGGTGGGTGTGAAAGACAGATGGCAAGATGCTGTGTAAAAAGGACAATCCAGTTACCCAAGCAGGAGAGAAGAGTGTTTTGGTGACTTCTGACATACCAGAGCAGCAGCAATTCAGTCCACAGCTCATAAAACAACCGAGAACAAATCAGAGAAGTCAAATGGTTGCCTGTTCACTATAACATTCAAAGGCTGAAATATGCCCCCAGTACAATCATTCACACAGACGGAGGATTTTAGGTTTTTAGAGTCCCGCAGGCAGAAGTTCCCAGCATGGTTATTAGCTTTGTTGGGTGGAGGATTCCGGGAGTTATAGTCCAACACTAAAACTTCCATGTCCTGAAGGGATTTTGTCACCAGCTGTTGACCTGGCAACCCCATGCCTGCTATCATTCCCCTTTTATGATGAAATCAGGTGATTTGGTGCTATTTTAAAATGAAAAAAGGCCAACCCCAAAATACAGTATATTCAGAAGACGGCACAAGAACACAGAGATTTTACTTTAATCTTCAAACTGCAGAGCTGGAAGGAATCATATGGATCCCTGAGTCCAGCCCCTGTCAAGGCAACCCAGTGGGGAATCAAACTCCCAACCTCCACAGCTAGAGAGTTAAACCACTGAGCTATCCAGCAGTCCACACAAAGCAATCTGCATGGAACTTTTTAATTGAAGACAAGGGTGTTTTTTTAAAGCATGTAATTGGACACAAAAGGTACAGTTTAAAAATGGGGACAGTTGCAAATGAATAGATGTGCAGCTGGAGAGACAGAGAGAAAATTAGACAAGTTATGCGTGTCTGTTTATTAAGAACTTAAACAACAGATAATGCCATGCAGGGCAGTGGGCTAACTCTGAGGGTGGGTGTGAAAGACAGATGGCAAGATGCTGTGTAAAAAGGACAATCCAGTTACCCAAGCAGGAGAGAAGAGTGTTTTGGTGACTTCTGACATACCAGAGCAGCAGCAATTCAGTCCACAGCTCATAAAACAACCGAGAACAAATCAGAGAAGTCAAATGGTTGCCTGTTCACTATAACATTCAAAGGCTGAAATATGCCCCCAGTACAATCATTCACACAGACGGAGGATTTTAGGTTTTTAGAGTCCCGCAGGCAGAAGTTCCCAGCATGGTTATTAGCTTTGTTGGGTGGAGGATTCCGGGAGTTATAGTCCAACACTAAAACTTCCATGTCCTGAAGGGATTTTGTCACCAGCTGTTGACCTGGCAACCCCATGCCTGCTATCATTCCCCTTTTATGGTGAACTCAGGTGATTTGGTGCTATTTTAAAATGAAAAAAGGCCAACCCCAAAATACAGTATATTCAGAAGACGGCACAAGAACACAGAGATTTTACTTTAATCTTCAAACTGCAGAGCTGGAAGGAATCATATGGATCCCTGAGTCCAGCCCCTGTCAAGGCAACCCAGTGGGGAATCAAACTCCCAACCTCCACAGCTAGAGAGTTAAACCACTGAGCTATCCAGCAGTCCACACAAAGCAATCTGCATGGAACTTTTTAATTGAAGACAAGGGTGTTTTTTTAAAGCATGTAATTGGACACAAAAGGTACAGTTTAAAAATGGGGACAGTTGCAAATGAATAGATGTGCAGCTGGAGAGACAGAGAGAAAATTAGACAAGTTATGCGTGTCTGTTTATTAAGAACTTAAACAACAGATAATGCCATGTAATACAATTTTACATATGATTTGGAAGTGCTTGATCTCTAAACCCAAATCAAATTGCCCAAATTGCCTCTTTTTGGCTGGAATCTCCTCTTCTCCACCTTCATTTTTGGGCAGCCTGAAGATCTGTGTTTCGCTTTTGGGGGTAAAGTGGGGCTGAGAGTTATTTTGTGCAGTTGGAAAATTATGTTAAAAACAACAGCAAAATATTTCTGAGGAATTGGGGAGGTATATGCAGGCAGAATGGTGATACAGTAATGTTAAAGCGATCGCCTTTCCCATTATTTTTTCTTTCTTGCTTTGCTTTCATTTTTCTTTTCTTGCTTTGTTTTCAGGAATCGCCAGTGTCATTGTCTCATTTTTTTTGTCTATGTACTACAATGTTATAAATGCCTGGGCATTTTGGTACCTCTTCCATTCCTTCCAGGTAGGTCTGGAAATCCCTTAAATTTTAAGAGTTATTATGCAAATATTTTAAAGGGCAGGGCAGGTAGATCAGAAACAATGCCAGGAAGTGCATATTTTCCCTTTTCCAGGACTCAGGTTTGTACTGAACACGTTCAGCAAGTAGCTCTGCCATCTACTATCCATACCAGGAAAATCTGTAGTATACAGAAAAACTGGAAAGACCCATGCGCCCAGTATATCCATGGTACATGTTTTTGGATATAGTGCCTGAAATCCTTTTGCACAGTCATACAAAAGGTGTAACTTCTAGCACCAAATTACCATAGGTTAATTACCGTACCATCTCCGTAAGCATTTTCTGTTGCACACCAAGTTGTGCAACTCAATATACAACTGATAATGCCTAGGGAGATTGCTTAACTTACAGCAATTTGCCACTAACAATTGTGGCCTTTTGTGTAGCTGTCCAAACAGAAAGAAGACCATAGCGAGAAAAAGAATGTTATTTTCATCTGTGTATTTTAATGAGAACTAAACCTTGCAAAATAAAAAACAGCCAACAAATGTAAACACATTTGTAAATACATAAAATCTAAATCCCGGGTCTCAAACTGAGTAGTACTGCATTCCTCTGTGGATGCCCAATAGCTCTTGAATGTCTCACAAATGCTGCAATTAGCATATACAGCCTTCTCTGTGGTGGCTGCCTCCTTATGGGATGTGTTACTTATGGATGTGTGTCAGGCCCCTTCCCTCCAAATATACCAAAGGTAAATTAAAACTCTGCTCTTCTTCAGAGAAGCTTTTCAGGATCTCCTCCCTTCATAGTCGTTGCTAGTTATGTTGTACTTTGATTTCCCATAGGTTTTGTCATCGTCATTCTGGGCTTTTGATGAGGTTGCTTTTATATTATTTATGGTTGGATGGGGTGACTGGGTTCTTATGTTCATGTTTATTTATGTAAACCATCTAGAGTAGTGGCTTGCCACTAGATAGGTGGTATAAAAATTGAATAAACAAACAAATATAAACATAGACATACTGTACTGTAGATGCCTCCTTGGTCAGCAGGGAATACTGATGCTGAGTCAGCTTGGGTTACAGCCCTTGTGTCAAAGCATATTTTTTGCTGGATTTTATATTAGTGCTCTTAGTATTGAACATTATTGTACATCAAGTATTCCAAGTTCAACTGCCATTCTGTAATTAAGCTTCCCCAAGAACACCATAAAAGGCATGCTTATCTTATCAGCAAAATCAACTGAGTCATCATAGCACTGATTTGAGAGCTCATGCATTAGGTTCTCAACTGGAAAAATGTCTAGGAGAATTAAACACCAGTATATCTAAGAATATATCTGTTTCTGAAAGAATCGCTGAGCTAGCCAAGTCTTCCACAATTACAATACTATAATTATCATAATTAGGGCAAAATATGGCATTGTGGGAAGATTGCTTGATGGGTAGGGGGGATGCTTGAATCCCCAGTAGTCAGTATACATTGGTATAGATTGCTGCCAACTGACCCACTTCCCCCATCTGCACCCTCTCTGTGATCTCCATTGTGACTGATGGTACTTAGAAAGATCAACATGCTTCATGCCTGCTTCACCCCCACACAGGATCCTTTGCCATGGGCATACTGTCCACTGAATAGTAATCATACAAGCTATGTTGAAGAATGTGAGAAGGCAACATCCACACAGTATTTTTGGTACAGGAAAACCCTCAATATTTCTCCATCTATTGAGGAGAGTGGGAACATCCAATGGGAGCAAGCAGCTTGTCTCATCCTGGCTTGGCTAGTGGTCTACCTGTGCATTCTAAGAGGAACTGAACACACAGGCAAGGTAATAACTGGTGTGTGGCTAGAAGTCATCTTTGACAAATAGGAAGTACAGAAGAGTGGGGAAAAAATTCTGAAAGCTTTTAAAACCAATTTGGGTGTAAATCTCTTCAGGTGAAAAATAATGGTTTAGTTATTATCATAATAAAAACATACTTGAGTCAACTGTTTGGGCAGGAAAAACGCCTCTGATGAATGAATAGTTTCTCCATTTACAAAATCTCTCATTTATCTCAATAGAGGAATCTTGCAAATGCATCTGATGTAATGTCTGTTGAATCTGTTTCCTCTCTTAACATGAAAATGGTGCTGCCTATGTTGAACCACTTTCTGTGTGTCTCCAGATTGCAGTGAACAGAACTGATGTGAAAATGATCACAAGCTCAGGATTTGGTGCAATCTCAGAGTCCAAGATGTATCTTCTGGAAACTGGCACTTATTTGTTGGCAAATTTTAAATTTGTTATCATTCCCTTCCAAACTGTTATTGCAATGGCAATAAATATTAGACATACAGAGTATAAGGAGAACTTGCCCCAATAACCACTAGACTTGGGGCCAAAAAGAAAAAAGAAAAAAAAAAGAATCAGGATATTCGTTAAATATCCCTGATTCATCAGATACTCATTATTTCGTATTCTTAGGGTCCAGAGACCCCAACGAATACGAAGCAAGGAATATAACCCTTTTATATTCATACCTTGGTTCCCCTTTCCTCCTCTTCCTATGCCTGCCCGGCATAAGAAGAGGAGGGAAGGGATCAAAGAGGGATCACAAAGTTCCCCCAGCTGCTGCAGTATTGCTTTGATCCAGATGTTCCCTCCTCTTGCTATGCCCCACGGGACTTAGCAAGAGGAGAGAAAGCAAAAAAAACAAGATAAATAAAATGAGCTGATGAATGACGAATTGATTCGTTGTTCATTGGGTCATGGGGGCAATTTGTGGTTCATTCATGGTTCAAACCTGATGACTCACGAAGCAAGATGAAGTGCCATTTTGGTGCTTCATCCCTATCTCCAATAACCACTCAAAGTTAATATTTTTTCTTCCCTATGAAAAGAAAAAAATGACATACTAATCATTCTGAGCAATATAGTACTGAGGATCCAAGAACAGAGAGGTTTGAGAACTTTTATTGTCTCAAAGTTATCAAGGTGATTTGTGCATGGACCAAGACTAACGCAAGACATTTTGTTGTCTGAGGTAAAAGGCAGGATGGCACCCTTTCCCTGCTTCCACATATAAAAATTGAATGGACTGACAAATGAATTATAATTTAAAAATGGTATATCATAATGTCCTCCAGCCCTAAATGTGAAGGCTGCAGGTCAGTTTAGGGCCAGAGAAAAGAAAAGACTGGAAAATGACCAAAAGGCTCAGGAAAAACAGTTAGGGACTGCTTAACCTATTTTGCAGCTCATGCTGCCTCAGCGAACCGCCTCACTAATAGGTCTGGCCCTGCCTTGAACACATGATTAATCGAAAGCTGATGGTCATTTCCAAAACTATTAAGTCACTTGGAATATAGAACAGAGACACAATGTTCCTAGTACCTATTGTACAACTGTAGTAACTTTAGCTCTTTATCCCTTTGCAGGTTGTGTACGTAACAGCTACTTTGCCTTACATTGTCCTCATGATATTCTTAATCAGAGGCCTAACACTCCATGGAGCTGTGAATGGGCTGACATATATGTTTACACCAAAGGTACCTCATAAATACATGTTCTCTTGCCAGTGAAGAACTAAAACATAGTACATTTCCTGTGTTATGATCTCAATTAAACACAAAGGTAGGAAGGAGGAGATAATTTGAAAGTATTAGGTCTAGCATTCTATGCCTGCCAGCATAGCTTGGTGATATACCCTATGCTCAGAACTCTCTCTGTTTTAGTGTGAAAGCAGAATAGCCTTCTCTACCAAAGTGAAGAGAGTGACAGGGATTATTATTAAAGTACTGTATAAAGCAGGGAAGTACACCTAGGGCTGTACAGCTAATACAGATTTTAAGATGTTCTCTAACATATTAAATATTTTGGTCTCTGTGGCGATTTCCTCTGAAGCACCTATTCCCCAAAGCCTTCAGGAGGTTCTCGCTCTTCTTCTTTCTTCGCTGCCACCAGGTATTGCTGCCTCAATACCATTCAACCAAGGAGACAAGTGTGCTTTTAAAACTTATTTATTAGATCAGGGAAGTTAACAGATGATTAATATTCAATAGGTATTTGAATCATTTCTACTTTAACTTTAAAACTCCATTAACTCTGTTCCATTCATTGGTCTTACAGATCTCTAACTCACTCTTAGTTCACTTTTAAGTTTCACACAGTCTCTCTCTACCAGAAAACTCTCTCAGGCTCCATACACCAGCATTTATATATCCAGCCCCCTCCCCCCTTGGCTCCGCCTTCCGTCCTCTCACTGGCTCCTTCTGCACTGTTCCATTGTGATGGACAGGTGAGGGCAGGGCTGTTCGCTACAGTCTCTAACACAAATTCAAAAAGATCTTGAAATGAGTATATATTGTTTGTGTATGTTTGTCTGTATCGCTTGTGTTTATTCCTGAAATAAATCTGGATCAATTACCCAGACTGGAGACAAGAAGGACCTGCTGTATTACAATCCAAATGAATTTTATTTGGAGTTAGTGTAGCTGCATGTTACACTTTTCAGTCATAATGCCCTTGAAAGGTAAATTCACAGAGGATCTCATGTGATAACAGTTTCTTCTTGATGTCAGGGAAAATGTAATTGACAATAAAACAAGAATATGATTAATAATAGTTCAGGTGCTTATGTAATTGCATTAAGAATCATAAAGATTATATGAAATATTTCTGAATGGTGATCAGATTTAACAGCAAGGAGCTGGGGTGGAGAATTACAGATCCAGGCAGATTCTATTTATACTTGGAAAATAAATCGTATTGAACTGAATAGGACTTAGTTCTAAGCAAATACGCATAGGATGAGGCTGAAAACAGCCTTTTGTCAGATCAGTGGAACTTAAGTGCAATCAGGAAAACATCCTGTGCAGGAACTTGAGTCAATGTTTTCATTCCCTGTTCAACATGTACCTAAAATGGCAGGAATCACCTTACAGGCAAAATGAGAAAATGAATAAACATATTTAAATGCTATATGATGGATTTATGATTTTCATGGTTTCTCCTTTACAGCTGGAACAACTGGCAAACCCCAAGACTTGGATTAATGCAGCTACCCAGATCTTCTTCTCTCTTGGGCTTGGCTTTGGCAGCTTGATAGCTTTTGCCAGCTACAATGAGCCAAACAATAACTGTGAGCGACATGCCATAATTGTTTCGTTAATAAACAGCGCCACATCAATATTTGCCAGCATTGTGACTTTCTCTATTTATGGCTTTAAGGCAACTTTCAATTATGAAAACTGCATAAAAAAGTAAGTTTGCTTTTTAAAAATCCATTATTTCCTTCTCTTCTGCATCTGAAAATGCATTATACTCACCACCCTTTTAATATATTACAAATATAAATGTTAAAAATAGTTATTTGTGACAGACACATGGTCAGATATTTTAATCTTGTTTGGTATGCAAGAATAGAGGAGCTTTCTCATGTAATGATTTTAATCAGAAGATCTTTCACTTCCACAGGAAGGCCAAAATGTCTTCTTCTACCTTCAAATCACCTGAAGAACACTAAATCAATATTAATGTAAATCTTATGGATTTGACAAATGTATTGTATTTGGGGCTTGGATTCACCAATTAGATTTAGGTCTGGGTGGCACAATATCAGTGGAGGAGTCCAGACTACATATGTCACCCTATTTGAATTTCTTCGTAGATCTTTTACCTCTAACTATGTTGATGCTACTTCTTATATTTTGCTTCCACGGTGATTGGTATTCCCACCTTCAGCTGCTGTAGTGGGGCACATGAACTACAAATACAAACATTGGAGGAGAATTCTGATCAGAGCAGAATGAAATGATCAGGATAAAACATGCCCACTCCTACCCCTAATTTTTGTGGAATTGGTACCTAAACATTTACTGTAAAAAGTGCTGCAAAACAATTGACATTATGTGCTGATTATGAATCTTGGGGTGCAGGTCTACAGAAAACCATCACTTCCTCATGGAAATTCACAGATATGCTGGGATAAGGTGTGCATCTTTAGGATGGGTAAATATCAAGCAGGATGTTCCATCTCTGCATACCAGCTGGGAAGTGTCAAACCCATGTGGTTTCTCCCAGAATCATTTGCATCTGAGTAATGCAAAATTATTCTTATTTTTCAGCATCTTTCTAAACACTAAAGTATGAAAATCAAGGACCTCTCACACATTCACTGCTTTTTAAAAGCATTGCATCTTGTTATATTAGAAAGAATCTTACTCAACTTTGTTGTGCAGGGTGATCTTGTTGTTGACTAACTTTTTTGACCTGGAAGAAGGATTATTAACAATGGAAAATCTTGAAGATATGAAGCATTTTCTAGCAGCTGCTCATCCCAAAGAATATACAGAACTGCTACCACAAATTCAGAACTGCAGCTTGGAAGCTGAACTAGACACGGTGAGTGGCTTCTTGTCAAAACTAGAAAGCCACCACAGTGGCTGTTCATCTCTTTTCCAAATACAGTATAATAAATCCCAATCTAATCCATGCCTAATAGTAGGGTTTAAAAAGGAAACAACATGGCTGGTGTTGAGCAGGGTTGAACCATGTAAGTACCTGAATAGCATATGGCAGTGTCCCACAACATGGTATTCCTCAGGGTTTTGGATACTAACTGCCTGTCATCCCTGAATGGATGGTTCAGAAACTTCAGCTAGTGCAAAACTCTGCAGCCAGATTACTGACCAGGACCAGCTAGAGGGAGCTTATAACACACCTGTTACAAGAATTGCACTGGTAACCTATTCAAAGTGCTGGTCATTACCTACAAAGCCCTATACAGCTTGGGCCCAGGCTACCTGAAGGACCATATCTCCCTATATGCGCCTTCTCAGCAATTAAGATCAGCAGAGGAGGCCCTCCTCTGGGCCAGCACAAGCAGAGCTGATGGGGATCAGGGAGAGGGCCTTCTCTGTGGCAACGCCCAGGCTATGGAACACTCTCCCTCGGGAGATCAGGATGGCCCCTTCCCTGTTATTGTTCTGAAAAAAGGCTGAAGACCCATGTCTTCAGGCAGGCTTTTAACAATTACAACTGAATCCCTGAACCCCATTTCAGCAAATAATTTTAATCTTTCCATATTTTAATGTTTTATCTTTTAATTTAATTTTAAATCATATACTGTTTAATTTATATTGCAATATTTAACTTATTGTGTATTTAAATTGTGTGAATGTTTATGTTGAGACCTGCTTTGGGCCCCTTGTTGTGAGCAATGCGGCATATAAATAAAATTAATGATGATGATGATGCAGCATAACATGTGTGCTCTTAGCAGGAATGGCAAATGCTGCAGCTACTAGGTGTACTTTGCCATCTGCTCAGGCAGTTAAAAAAATCCATTTTTTTTTCTTTCCGGTGTTCCTTGTTGCCACATGGATTCTACCTGGATTTAGGATCCATTAATCCAGATTTGCCTCACATTGTTTTCATGGTCAGAAGGTCCAGAAGCAGTTCAGCCCCCATCCACCTATATCTGGCCCATCACTGTGACATCTCCTGGACTAAAACTCAGGTCTCAGCTTTTGGACCTGCTAGTGGTCCTAATTATCGACCACTGGTTATACTGACTAGGCTGATGACAGTTGAAGCCCAAAATATCTGGGAAGCACCAACAAGATGTTGTTGAGATAATAGAATGTTGGTTAAGCAGCCGCTTCTAGTAAAGCATATTCTAAAAACAACACTGATGTTAGTGCACTGGTAGTTTTAAAATCTGACTGGAGACAACACAATAGCAACCTGGGGCAAAGTTTGAGACGGTATTCTTAAATGAGCACCCATATGCACTGTAGGAGTGCCAAGTCATTTGTACTTTTATCTTTTGTAGCAGTTTCCTCAGTTTTCTTAACAATCTTTTGATTTCCCTCAGTTTTTAAATTGCAGGTGTAAAAGCACTGGCTAGTTTGTGGTAACTGCTCTCTCCCCAAACCAATCACAGTTATGAATTTTCCCTAATCCTGGTACTGTATCTTCTGTTTTCTCTTCCTTATGAACAGGCTGTCCAAGGGACTGGACTGGCATTCATTGTGTATTCAGAAGCAATAAAGAACATGGAGGCCTCACAGCTCTATTCAGTGCTGTATTTTCTTATGCTGTTGATGCTGGGAATAGGTAGCATGCTGGGGAACACTGCAGCCATTCTAACTCCTTTGACTGACAGCAAGTTTCTTTCCTCCCATGTGCCAAGAGAGATGATCTCAGGTGATTCTGTCTAGCACTTAATACAAAGCATGGGCAACCAGGTTTTCATTCGTAAACTGACAATAGTAAACTGTAAAGAGAATGCCCATGCATAGCATTATCAACTGTGATACCGGCTGCATATACTGTCCTAGCCACATCTGGGAAGTGCAGCAGCAACCTTCATGCTAAGGTGGAGGCAGAGCTCCACTTTTCACATGGGAAGGGGTGCAAAGTGCAGGTAGCCCTTCTATCAGCTATGGGTGGGGTGGGAACAGAACACTGATTAGGCCCCCAGCAAATCTGTGTAGCATGGACGGCAGCATTCCATTATATTCTTGACCCTGGCATGGGACCCTCTGCCAAATGCTGTGCAATGTTTGGCTTTTGAGAAGTGCTAGAATCAAAACAGGATTTGCTGCTCTAGGTAACAGTCTATTGCTGCTTGATGTCAACTGGCTATACTGTACTTCACCACCTCTTAACATATGGTAAAATCCAAGTTAAAATATGTTGTGATGTTTTAGCCCCTTTTCTTTTCAGCTAAAACCAAAATCACTTCACTTAATCTTACAGGTGGTGTGTGTTTTATCAACTGCATCATTGGCCTGGCATTTACTATGGAGGCTGGAAACTACTGGTTTGACATCTTCAATGACTATGCAGCTACACTCTCTCTGCTGCTTATTGTACTGGTGGAAACTATTGCTGTCTGTTATGTGTATGGACTAAGAAGGTAAGTAATATAATAGACACTAAGTTGGCAAAATGACTCTTCTGAGCCATCAGATTTTTGCTTATTTCTTTGTCGCAGAATCTAGAACAATGGTGGTCCTTGGTGTATTGTCTCAATAATTTTAGCACCTTGCTTTCCAAAGTGTTTTTTTAGATAAGAACCATGGTAGGAACAAAAATATTTCTGTATATAAGAACATGAAAGTTTCTTTCCTTCACAGATTTCAGAAAGTGCTTGGTGTGATGATTGGACATGAGCCAAGCTGGTACTGGAGGATTATGTGGGCTTTTGCTAGTCCTGTGCTAATTGTAAGCCTGTTTATATTTTACATCACTGATTACATCAGGACAGGGACATTGCAATACCAAGCCTGGGATGCAACAGAGGTATTGTACTGCTTGTAATTCACTTCCTTAATCACTGGCAGCTGAATGTTAGCAGCTATGTAAGTTCAAGATCACTGTAACTTCCTTTAAAAAAATATTTACTACATGTAGCTCTATTAGTTCAGAGTGCACATTTTGAGGAGTTGGAAAGGAACACAAACATCAGATGCATCTTTAAAGTATTCAGAACTTCCAAGCAGCTTGCACAGTATTAACAAAATCAGGACACTATCCTTTGTAATATAATGGCTGACATCCAGTAGTAAATCACAACTAGAATAGACCCACTGAACCAGTGGGGACTAGGTATGTCAACTCTTCTGTAAGTTCCACTGATTCAATGGCCCTACTCTAGTTGACTTACTAATGGATTTTAGCAATCAGGTCTAGTATGAGATGATAAATATGCAATTCCTCTCACTTGATGCTAGAATACATGTCAGTTATATTTTCAAGAGAAAATGTTATTCTATTCTTCTAAATACACACTGTATCAGTAGATAAGTTAGTTTCTGTGATCTGACTTCATTATAAAAAAACAAGACAAGGTAGTGCAAAGATGCAGAAGAGTTTGCGCTATGACATTATGTAGAAGGAAAATCTGGTCTACTATGTTTAGAAGTTTGACACAAATGGGAAACATAATTTAAGATGTTTTTCTGAAGCAATTCTTGAGTTTTGAGCCACAGCATCCATCAGCTGTTCAGATCTGGTGATTCTAGAATTCACAGATGCCCATGGAACTTGCTTTTAAAAAAACTCATACCGCATTCACCATTTTTGAGACCAATACTCTACGATGTAGCTTTTGAGTCTGCCCGTATAGTTCAAAAAAAGTAATTCCAGTTTTAATCTTAACACAGCTGTTAAAAAAAAAAACATACATAACCATATTACCTGTCAGCATGGTATATATTTCAGGTGAAAAAGTATTGCCACTTTTCCAGCCTCAGTTCTCCTACTTACACCCACCAGCACAAATCCACTGGCATAAACCTTGGTAAACTGCCGCTAGTTAGCAATTTAGTGCCTGTGTTTCCTATCGCTCACCAGGAATGAGATCTGGCATGCAATCTGATATCAACATCTTAACCAGTACTAATTTACACTGATAAACTTCCATCGATAGGCATATGCAACAAGACTAAGCACCTGCCGTATTTTTGTGTATAATACTTTTGTCTAAAACCTTTAGATTAAAAATTGAGGGTCGTCTTATACACGGAAGGAGGGGGGAAGGATCAAGTGCTTTGATCCCTGCTTTCCCCCTCCACTTTTTGCTTAGAAATTGGAGGGGGAAAGCACTTTCCTTGCAAGAAAGTAGAGAGGGAAAGCAGGAATCAAAGTGCTTTGATCCCCGACTTCCCCTTCCACTTCCTTGCGAAGAAACTTTGGGTTAGAAAAGTGGGGAGAGGCATCTTATACATGGAAAAATATAGTAATTAGTTGGGACTATCTTTATTTCAAATGCAGTCTATGCATCCTCTGCTCTCTCAACCTTGTCTTAAATACAGTGGTGCCTCGCTTAACAATGTTAATTGGTTAAAAAAAAACATCGCTATGGGAAAACATCGCTAAGCGAAACACCATTTCCCATAGGAATGCCTTGAAAACCGGTTAATCCATTCCAATGGGAACGGATTGCCGTCCTTAAGCGAAAACCCCCATAGGAAACATCGCTAAGCGATACAATGTTTTCCCCATTGAAATGCATTAAAGCCTATTCAATGCATTCCAATGGTTTTGCGATGTCCGTTTTTGCAATTTTAAGTGTGTCTTAAAAGGTTCACAAACGGTTTTAAATGCTTGGGATAGTTAGTGCACCTTCTGAAACCTTTGCAAACTTAATTTGGCTTTGATTTGACTCTTCGTTAATTTTTGGTGAATTTCCGCCCCCCACTGGAAAGCATTGATCTGTCGGTTTGACAGTTGTCAAACCTACAGTTCAATGCATTCCAATGGGGGAGAAAAAAAATCACCAAAAATTAAGGAAGACTCAGACAAAGCCAAATTAAGTTTGCACAGGTTTTGCAAGGTGCACTAACGATCCAAAACATTTAAAACCATTTTTGAACATTTTAAGACTTTTAAATTAGCGAAAACGGATATCATTAAGCGAAACAGGGGGACCTAAACTGTCATCGTTAAGCGAAGCAAGGTCCCGAAATCGCTAAGCGAAATTTTCCCATAGGGAACATCGTTAAACGATGCAGAAAATTACTCAAAGACAACCATTGCTAAGCGAATACATCGTTAAGTGAGGCAATCGCTAAGCGAGGCACCACTGTACTCTGAATTTTGGCCAAGTCGCCCTTGCCTAGAAGTGTAGAAACAAATAGTGTTGTCTGAGTCTTCTGTATGAAAGCAATTTGTGTAAATATTGCATACAAATCACATACCTTGATTAATATCCTTCTGGTTTTAATGTTAGATAATTTCTCTTCCAGGGCCAGTTGGTTACAAAAAATTATCCAAGTGGTGCCCTAGCTCTTATTGGGATGCTTGTGGCAGCATCCACATTGTGTATACCACTGGGTGCCCTACTAACTTTTATAATGAAGCAAACCAAACGTTAGTAACCGGGCTCAGATTTATGAAGAACTGAAATTCCACACACCACCTTGAAGATTATAACAGCTATGACCTACAACTAACAAGAAATGCTTAAAATTGGCTAGCATCATCCTGAAGTATTATTTTGACCATTTCCATAGTGAAGAAAGGTGTTCTGTAGCAGATGAAGGTTTGAAGTTGCTTTTGAAACTTTACAACATAGAATGGTTTACAACACATTCAGGTTTGTACACTGAATTATATATTGGTCATTTCTATCAGTCTGTTTGTTCTCAGTAGAAATATGTTCCTTTTGTATTGGAAGTGTAACAAGAAAGTCTTGGACTATCAGAAATCTGCAGTGTCACATTTTTCATCTACAGTGTTGCAAGATTATACAAATTATATGCATTACTCATGGAATGTATATTTTAGTGGATGCTAGCAAATGCTTTAAGAGCTACATTAGCTCATTACTTAAGCTGTCAATGTTTTTACATAAAGCACAGGCCAGTATCCTATTATTAGCATACTATATGTAACGTAAGTTCAGTGGCATAAATCTCAGCAGTGTAACTTGGTGGACAAGAAGAACATAAGCATTAACTCCTTTACTAATAGAAATTGATTACTAAGATTTATGCTGTCTGACCTAACATCAGTAACAGGATTCTGGCCACTGTCAACTTTTGTTACTACAGAAGTAAACAGCAGGCTCTAAGAGTAACCTGCTCTAAGATATAACATACGTTCCTCCATTTTATATAAATTCTTCATACAATTAAAAAATAGTGAGATTGGCGAGATGTTAGGCACAAAGGGCTACACTGGAATTGTCATGAGCTGGAAACTAAAACAAGCAAATGCTAGTCCTATCAAGGTAATATACATTTAAGTGTCCCCATTTGTTGCATTTATTGTCGAATACCGATAACATTACCTTCAAATACCACAAATGTGAATAAGAATTTGGTAAGTGGTAAAAAAGCAGACACAACAACTAATTTTACACTGAAACCAGTCTTTTGAAATAGTCTCTTTTTTCTGACTTATTATATGTTGCCAAATTATTCATCTCTGAAATATTTTTTTAAAAAGGCAGATAACAATTATCCAGTCTCTCTAGGGTGTACTTGCCAGAATACGAGCTAAACTCTCCCTTCCTCTAACTTACCAACAAAGCAGAAAGAAACTATTTCACATTTTAAAAATATATCAGTATTATGTTTTAGAGATGTGAAGAGACTGATTTTCTTTTGACCTATTGTCTATTCAATATTGCTTCCTAAACCAAGTATTTTCAATGAAATTTACATTAAAAGGTGGTAGTGTTGGTTTTAATTTAGTAACACGTGACAACTGTTGTAAATGCTGCATCCATTTTTTCATGCAAGACTTGACATATCTATAGAGATAAGATTTAAAGAATTTTTACAGCAAGCTGTTAGATGGAATGAATACTGCAAGAAGTACTGAATACACATAAATCAATGAAACATACCGTACTTTAAATTATAATAGAAGACAAACTGCCAGAAGAAATTCCAGAACTCTAGTCAATTTTAAAGAGATTCCAGTAAATTCCCTAATTCTTAATGGAGAATACTAAAGGAAACAAAGACATGCCTAACCAGTTTCCAAGAAAGTGACAAGACATTTTCCACACTGGTTTATTAAAAATTGACATTAAACAAAAGCTGTACAAAAAAGTAGCTGAAGTTGCCTGACTTTTTTTTAAAGCAGCTATAAAGACATTATCGCCTTGGACCGCCTCTTCCCCTGCCACGTCCTCTGCCTCTGCCACGCCCTCTGCCGCGTCCTCTTCCTGCAACTGAATTTTTTTTAAAAAAAGAGAGAACATTTTATTGGAATAAATATGGAATAGTAGCATTTGAAGTTTTTGTTCTAAAAATTAAGTAAAATACCCAATTCTGCATCTAGTACTTTTCAATTTAAGATGTGATTCAGAATGTTTTATTTCCACTATGGACAAAATAGCAAAATACTTCTATACAGTGGTGCCTCAACTTATGACCATCCTGACATACAACCATTTTGAGTTGCGACCAGCTCCTGCTGCAAAATTTTGCTTTAACTTGCAGCCAGAGCTTCAAATTGCGATCAAAAGAGGCAGGGGAAAAAGGTGGGGAATTCAAATTAGAGGGCTATCCATTGGTCAGTGAAGAGCTTCTTTGTAGCTCTTTTGCCCCAAAGGTTTGAGTGTGTGCGTTGGAGGAGGCTTGGGATTACCTGGTGATGCTTTCTGCTTCTGAGTAACTACATTTACAGGTTTTTGCAGGGTGGGTTTAGGCTTGGGGGGGGGTTTGTTTCTGTGCTGCGTTTTCCTTTGTTTTTGTGTGTTTACTTTTTCAGCCCCAGCGCCTTCCGATGGGGGCTTGCTGTGCTGTTTATTTTTGGTGTTTTTTTTTAGCCCCAGCGTCTTCCAACGGGGCTTGCTGTGTTTTTTGGGGGGGATTTTTTTTTTTTGCCGGAACGGATTAATCGCGTTCCAATGCATTCCTATGGTAAATGGTTCTTTGACTTACGACCATTTCAAGTTACGTCCATCTTCTGGAATGGATTATGGTCGTAAGTTGAGGCACCACTATACATTCAATGGACTGGTAGTCATAATTTTATTTCCCCCTTCAGACTGAAGCCAAGCATATTAAGGTACAGTGAGGGGAAGCAGGGGCTTTGGTACTGCTGTGAGCTTTGTCACAAATACACAAGTACCTTGCTACAGGCAACCCATGTCAACGCTCAAGAAAAATTCTAAATGGATATAAAGTCTGTAAATTCCAAGTCCCCTGGGCACTAGGATACATTCCACAACAGCTTAATTTCCAGCACATGGACTTCCATCAACCATAAAAAAACAGGGCATGCTGATCTTTTAAGACTCTTGTCTAAAAGCAAATCATACTCTTGCACTAACTGACTCAATGGTAGAGAAAAGTGAAATCAGTAGCTCTGTTTGAAGCATTTGAAAAATGGATAAGATTGGGGGGGGAAGTACCCAAATTTGTGGCAAATTGCACTGGATCCTCACATCACTGAAGAAAGGAAATTATTTTGGAATGTAAGCTAAATTAAATACTTGTTTGGTATCCTGAAAACCTAAATGAAGAGCAATGAGGAATGTGTGCTCTTTATATTTAAAGCTTTAAAAAATAATGGGGAACAGAGCTATAAAGGCTAGTAAAAATACCAAAGTGTCAGTTTAAGAAAGATAGAGAACATTTTGTAAAAAAATGATATTCAGTATAAAAAGAAATGCCCAACTGAGAAAAATAATGAACAAGCAGCCCTCAACATTTTCTCGTAGTCTGAAGACAAAGAGAAACACACATAAATTTTAATATCAAAGAACAAAAATAGGCTTCCATGTGTATAAGAATTTGTATTGCAGAGAAGCACGATAAAAAGGAACAAATTTGAATGTTCATAAATAGAATCAACATATGTATAGTTGGTGATCTGAAATAAAGATACTAACCTGCCTCCCTTTTCTTGGATTTTACTTTTGGTTCAACATCCACCAGGAGGGTATCCAGGGGCAAACTGTCCGGCAGAATGAAATACCTAATATTGTTGCCTCGAATACTCAAGGTCTCCAATTGGACAGGTTCTCTGTTCTTCAGAGTCATCTTTACAGCTTTAAGGTGTGTATTCATACTGACATCCACTCCTGGCAAATAAAATTAAGCAAGCAAACAATGTAGGCCCTTCTCATACAAAAAAACACTACCCTTACAAAAGGGTAGGGTTCTGGCAGCATCACACAGATCAAGATGCATACTCACCCAAATGGAAATGCCATAGGCATGCCACATCAAAAGAGTTGTAACTTGCATATTTTTCATACAAACTAATTGTTTATCAACCAGTAAATCACAGAATCACATGGCAGACTGAGCAAAAATGATATGTATCACTTAGCTGTATCTATTATGAGGCAGACAAGCAGTAAACTACAAAAACTGGCTCAGACTAGGGCCGATGAAAAGTAATAATTAGATAACTGGGTTTGAACAAGTGAAATCCAGGTTCTAATCCCTGCAATGCTATGAAAATCAACATGAGGTCCTCAGGCAAGCTTGTTTTGGAGCTCTACTAATTTCACAAAGTTAAAGTGCGAATTTTTATGTGACTGTCCTCTGAATCCACTCCTTATTTGCTTGAGTGAAAGTGAAATACAGTGGTGCCTCGCATAGTGACGATAATCGGTGCAGCAAAAATCGCTGCAAAGCGATTTCGTCGCTATGCGATATTAAAAAGCCCACAGGAATGCATTGGAATCCCTTCAATGCGTTCCTATGGGCTTCAGACTCACCTTTAAGCGAAAATCCTCCATACGGCGGCTATTTTCGCTTCCCGGCAAGCGAGGAATCCATCCCAGAAAACAGCGGGCAGCCATTTTTTTTACCCGGTGGCCATTTAACAACCGATCAGCTGTTAAAAAATAATCGCTTTGCGATGATAGGTAAGCAAAACAGGGTAGCGATCATCGCAAAGCGATTTTTCCCCATAGGGAACATCGCAAAGCAATCACAAAAAGTTAATCGCTATGCGATTTCGTCGTTAAACAGGGCACCCGTTACACGAGGCATCACTGTATGTGAAACACATCCAGCTAATTTTTTTAGCTTTTAATGCAGCAATTGTTCTTCCAAATATTATCACAAATATTTACTATAACTAATAGTATTTGTAACTAAGTATTAGTTACAAGTCTAATCTTTATTAGATAAAATCTATCTAAAGGGAATGTAACAGTGTTTTTATAACCCTGAATCCCATACCTGTGATAGTTCCATGAACTTGAGTTCCATTCTTCAGTTCAATTGTTACAGTTTCATGACTTAGTTTCATAAGAAACCTGAAATTTATAATGGAAATAGAAATAAAAATTCAACTCATATTAATAATAGAGTGTTCTTATTTAAAGGATTCCCACCCCTTCATTTTGGCAGATACTCTCCAGGTGGAATCATGGGAGCAAAAGCACCACGGTAGCATGAGGTAGTACAGCCCCTCTATGTGCATTTGGTTCCTTGGCCTTTCCTCTGGTCAGCAGGTAGAAAAGTGTCCTGCTGCTGTGTGGGAATCATGAGATTCCCTGAGACTTGCAAAGACCCATGGGAGAGCAAGTTCTGACAAAGGCTACCTCCACAAAGAAAGGATGGAGCTTCCATTGAATTATGTGGATGGATTATTTATTTATTTATTTATGTCCATCCATCCATCTTGTATGCCACCCACACTATGCAAGAGTCCCCGGGCTGAAATATGAAAAATCCTTCCCTATCAAATATATACTAGTGCTTATAGGGTCTGAGATTATTGCAACAGGCAAAGAACACCTTCAAGAGCAACATTAAATAGTTTTTTTTAAAAAAAACTTTCTAACTGCACTACTAGTCATAATGTACACTCATGTGACTCTTCTGTTAGCAGTGGGAACCAACTGTGGAAATTAACAATTCTCCAGTACAAGTATGTGTGAAACCCCAAGACAGGGCCAGGAAGCATTTGTGGGAGTGCCGTCGCTCCCATCACCCTCTAAGGAAACTCAGACCTCTCCTCCGCCTTCTTCCCCTAGGAAGGAAAGTAAGAAGGTGGACACTAAAGAACTGGAGGAGCTGAGAGACAGAGAGGGACAGAAACATCAAGGGGTGGATACCCGGGAATTGGTCTTGGGAACTGGTCTCGGGAATAAAGGGGTTAAACGTGGCGGTACAAACCGGTGAAGATTTGGCAGGAAAAGGGGAAAGGTCGATAGAGGCGGGGGCAGGGGATATAATGGAGAAGTAGGAGGACATCCCGGGCAGTTGGGAAAAGATTTGGGTCCAGGATCCCTGGACAGGGAAATGGGAACAAGTTAAGGTTCCTCATGAGGCGGCTGAATGGCAAAGGCGCCGGGGTCAACAACCGCGTCCGTCCTATTGGGGAGAGATGGAGGCGCCGTCTTCGTGAAGAACGTGAGGCGGTGGCGAGAGATCGAGGCCAAGAAGACATGGCATCTTACAGAGCTCCAGAAGATGGGAGTCTTCCCGGACCGTGGCTGGCCAGTCCGAGAGGGAGTTCACCACTCTGGGGTTGGAGCGGAGATGAAGAGACCTTACCGCTATTAGTAAAGGGGAAGGAGGTGACCCCCCCGGTGGTAGAGAAAGTGTTATCTGGACTGTGGGAGTTTGACGAACTAAACCCATTTGTTAATGATGTTTGGACACCCTTGCAGTCAAGGTTTTCACAGCAAGAGACATTAGACTCTGTTCACAAAGAAGTTAGTTAATGTTGGAACATTAATGAATAAAGAACATGTTGTTGAAGTTAAACCGTCTCGTACTTTATTGGGCGTGACAGAAGCCCCTAATAACGAACCCTCACAGTATGGAGAGTCCAAAATGAAAATTAATTGTTTTGGGGGGCAGGGGGAGACAAATGTGTACAGTATTCATTTCTTAAAGGAGTCAGGTGAGAGCTACCTAGATGCATGCTACTAGGAATGCAGAAAAAGCCAAATCTTTAGAGCAAGAATGTGGGAGAGTGAGGAGACAAAGTTTGTACAGTATTAAAATATGATTAAGTTGAAACACTGGTGAGCACAAATTATGACTAATAGCAAGGTTAGCAATAGCAGTGAGAAGGCATCACATACCTATCCAGGCTCCTATCCAGAACAGTCCCCAACAGTTTACGCATGGGCAAAATTGTTCTACAAGTTTCTTTGTGAAAAATTACTTGCATGTCCTGAAGGGTAGCTTTGAAATGACACTGGCACAATGACACTGACACAATAAAACCACACAAGAAATTTTAAAATAAAAATATTAGGAACAAAAAGCCTATCAGGATCCTACTCTCAGACAGGCATTTGTTACCCCTTTGGACTTCTTTTGGAATTCTTCCTAAAGGGCAGTTGATGGGAAATAGCTTTGTGTGGGGAAGGGAAGCCCCATCTGGACCAGAACTTGAAGCCCTCTCCATCTGCCTCCCTACTCTAGCCCTCACAAACTTTAGTCTTCAAGAAGAGTCAGGCCTCATGCCTATTATGGGTTGTTACTTCATCTATTTTGTTCTTGAAATTAAAAAAAACTTGTAAGCAAAAACTAAAGCAATGAGAACAAACATGCTAAAGTTCCTTCATCTTAACACTTACACAGAAGCACTCTTTCAAACAGGTGCAGGCTTTTCATCTCATGTAAAAGCTTCACGTACAAGGGCTTCTTCTATTCAATTATTAAAAATATAAGAAACGTTTTCCCTACCTTAACGGTCACCACAAAACTGGCAGATAGATTTACGTCATTTAATAGGCCTTGAATCCCCACATCACAACTTTGTATTAAATGCGGCTCCGGTTTCTTATGATTGCGGGGATAGAGTATTCTTGTGTCTGAAAGACTCGCAAAGGTCTCTTGGGCATAAATGTTTCGTGGCCTAATTAGGCCACTGCGCCACATCCCTCGGATGAAGGGGGCGCGCAAGATGTTATGACCAGGCCCTGAGAGGCGCGACGCGGGGAGTAAAGCAGGAAAGGCCCCAAAGAAAAGGGGGCTGACGAAGAAAGCACTTCGAGGAGATGCTGGAATGGAGTTCCATAAAGCCCAGACAAAGCCAACGGGAAAACTACACCCACCCGCACCCACAATGGGGAGAGAAGGAACCCCCTCGGGGGCGCTTTGTGAGGTGAAAAGCGCAAGGCGCCCAGGCCGCGTGTTTGCTTCGAATCGTTCCCGCCCGAGCCCGACACGCTCCCATTTACCTCACGAGTTTCATGGTAACAAAGTTCCAGGCACGACGTCAAGCGCCTGAGACTTGGGATCGCGCCTTGCCCGGCGACGGGAAGCCAAAGGCGAGGAAAGAAGAAACAAAAATTGAGCGCGAAGCAGGCGCCGCCGAAGACGAAGCCGCTTCCGTTACTCAAGGAGAAGAGAATCAGCCCCTCGTACGCTGCGCGCGATGAATGGTTGGAAGTCCCACCCTCTTTTTGTTAGCACCGGAAGCGGAGAGTGAAGAGGAGGAGGCGGTTACTAGGGGCGAGCGCCACCCGCAGGAGTGGAAGACTCGATGCAATTGGAAAAGAGAGAAGGGCGTTAAGGAGTTTCCGCGGAAAAAAATAAGAGGGCTTAAAAAAAATTTTTTTGCAGAAACTCTTGAGTCTATGCTATAACGGCACCTTTATTAGGCAACCAAAAGTTCATTAAAACGATGCGGTCTTTTGAGATCAAAGATCTCTTCGACAGTCAGGATGTTTTAAAAGTAGTGCGAGGGCAAAGGTGGCGGAGAGGTGATCTTAAAGCCGAGTAAGTTATGTATCATTTCGAGATGCAATGGAGGGGGTCTGCAAACGTTCAAAATGAGACTTACCAAGTGATTTAATGGTGGTCGATTTCACGACGAGTAACCCATAGATTTGCTGGGAAATGGGCAGGAAGAAAAAAAAATCATTATTTGCTTAATTGTGCATCTATTGTTTAACGGCTTTTAAAATTATGAAAAGAGCAAAAAGTAAATGTTAACAAACTGTCGGATTGCCCAAGTCGCTGGTGGATGCCTCTCTGCTGAAGCCTGAAAGGGGAAATGTCCATTTATTTATGTACTTATTTAGACAACTTTTTCTGTCCTTTTGCATTGGTCTTGCTGACTAAGGCATCTGGAACCTGAAGTCCAAGATATATTGCAGGCCAAAAGGTTGCCCACTCCTGGAGTCTTAAGCTAATGTTGCTCTCATGCTAAGGAGCATAATTTGATGTGAACCCATTGCAAGGGAAGCATGTGGTTTAACTGTTGTGGCAAGATCCATATCTAAGTCAGAAGACCTATGACTGCATAGAAATACTGTACAGTAAAAGGATTTACAAAGGAAATGGCTATCACATTATTTAACACCCCCCCCCCAAAGATTGAGACAGTAGTGACATGCAAAGAGCCAATTAATTGCTGTCCCTGAGGGGATCCTCAAGCATGTAACTAAGCACTATACATCACAGGTGTGAGAAGTTGTACTGTATAGATGTTGTACTACATCTCCCATGATCTCTGATTTTTTGATATGCTGGCTCTGATTTAGGATTGTGCTGGAGACTTCAAATGGCTGCCTTACTCAGCCTAGTTGTGAAGCAGCCCCAGACCTGTGTAAGGAGAAGAAAAGAAGACAGGCATGAGCTCCCCAGCGAAAGATGGCAGGAAACCGCCAACCAAAAGTCACCTCCGGGACTGCCCCCTGCTTCTTCAGGGGGGTCTTGCCCTCTTGTGAGGTCTGACATTATTCCTGGCTTAGGAATTTTGGAGCTGTGGCCCAAGAAGGGACCTTTTGCAAGTTCTTGGCAAGAGAGGCAGAAAAGCAGTATGAAAACCTGCTCGACGGGTTCTTTTCAAACTTTTCCCTATTCAGGAAGGGATCCTATCCCTGTCCTGGGCCCCAAAGTAATTTCTGCCTCCTTGTAATTCTAATCAGGTCTTCCTGGTACTGATATCGAGGAAAGCTGAAACAATATTTTAAGACTGATCAATTAATTAGGAACTGACAGTACATTTGGAGGAAAACCAGGCCTCAGAAGAATTCGACCCTGAAACATTCACAGATAACCCTTAGCAGAGAAAAACACAGGCCTCAGAGAAACTGGGCCCAGGAAGACAGTACATAGACATAGCAATAGATAAAGGGAAATAGATACTATATGCCCCAGACTTTTAGGCACATCCCTGGTGCATCATGGACATAGGTCAAGGAAAGATGGAGCATAATATATTTTCTTACATTTAACCAATAAATTAGTGTAGTTATCATTAATTATCCAATGAGGGACTGGATCCAAAGTTGGAGTACAAATGACCAATAGAATTGTAGTACTTTTATGACTCTTTGTATCATATAAAACATGTGTACACCGTATTCTGGGGGTCTTCTCTGCTTTTAAGAGAAGTCCCAGCTGTCCTTGCTATTCAAATAAAATTGGAACTTTGGTTCAGCTGCTATGTTTCTGCCTGATTTCCTTGCTGGAAAACCGGAACCCAGAATTGGCCAGTAACAGTACAAATGTCCCAGGCCAGGTTTGCCTCTCCCCAAATGGCTTTTTGTGGCCTAGGAGGGACTTCGACCTTTTTCCCTGCTACCTGGCTTCCCGAATCCCTGCCCAATGCTCTATCCACTATGCCAGGGGAGCTGTCAAGGGCTAATATAGCCCACCTCCAACCCTTGTCTCGTCCTACTAGGAAGATCCAACTTAACCAGGTCAAGGCTCAGCCTGACTGTTAACTGTCTCTCAGTTTGCAGAGAAACAGAAGCTCTCCAGGTTGTAACCTCATTCTTTCAGAGGATTCTGACCTACGGCTAGGCTGGCTGGGAGAATGGTGGGGGGCTGCAGTCCAAGAAAGCAACTTTATCTAGCTCTGCTTGGAATGTGATTAGCTTGCCCAGGGCTACACAGGCTGACCCTGAAGTCACAAAGGGAATCAAAGTGCCTCCCTCTGACTCCACATCCAGACACCTAAACCACAGAGCCATCTAGCCCGCCTTCCTAACAATACCCAAATAAACCTTTTCTGTGACCGAAAAGGCTGCTTCAGCTTGAAAAGCAAAGAAACAAATCCCAAACCCTGGGATCACCTGTTCCCATCATTGCAGCATCCCCAGTTGCAAAACGTATTTTCCCTATCGAAGGTTTAATTGACACTGAGGAAATAGTGTGAGCTGGTGCTCAGCTGCGAGTGGGAAGCGTCTTTCAAATGGTAAAATAAAAGAAAGATTGAAAGAAGACTAGAGAGTTGCCTCCTATTTTCAGTAGCAGTGGAAGATGTAGTATCGGTTTTCAGCTGACAGCTGAATTAAATATAATGACACTGGAAAGCAAATCAACTGCACACATGTTGTTTGTATCAGACAGAGAAGGCCCTCTCCAACACAGGGCCTTGCAAAAAATGACAGAGAAAAAAAGGCTGAGGGTCAAACCCAAATATTTCTGTTTTTATGAAAACAGTCCTCCCAACTCTTTCTGCATGGTGGGGGGTTGGACTGGATGGCCTCAGTGGTCTCTTCCAACTCTATAACTCCTTCTGTGCCCTCCAGTGAAGAGGTCTTCTCCCAAAGGAAACAAGGCTTGGATATTTACAGGCATGGTTTGAGGACAAGATTCTTGAAGATTATTTGATTTATCCCTTTCTGATTAAGTTTGTTCCCTCAGGTGGAAAATCCTTCCCACACACAGCTGAGAGCCAGCATTAAACATAAAATACAGTATGGTATAGTCCTTCCTGAGAAAAGAAGTGTGAAGAAATGCAATGTGAAGCTAGATTTTGTACCTCTGAGAGACCTGGTAGCTCCAATTATTGTCTTGAAGGAAGGGCCTCCTGTGGACACTATACCCGTTTATCTTCATGTCAGAGCAATTCTGTTAATTAGACAAACTTTCTTCAGCTATGCTTTCATTCGAAATGGTTATCCCTTCCTCTTTGAATGAAATATACTGTCTTCCATTGTGGTTTTCATGGAACAAAGGAAGGCTAATGACCTTAGAGAAAGAACAAAGGAGTCGACGATGGATGTCCGAGCCAGCAGAGCCCACAGGCAATGCCCTGAGAGCTCTTTTTATTGACTTAGCATGAGTTACATAGTATGTTGTCAGAATTTGGATAGGATACTAGTTACTTAGTACATTGTGGTTTTCATGGAACAAAGGAAGGCTAATGACCTTAGAGAAAGAACAAAGGAGTCGACGATGGATGTCCGAGCCAGCAGAGCCCACAGGCAATGCCCTGAGAGCTCTTTTTATTGACTAGTTTAAATTAGGTTAAAAGGTGTGTATGTTTCACTTGTATGTGTTCTACTCATTCACATTTTTGCTTTGCCAATACATTAAGTCACAGGTGTCAAAAGCAAGGCCCGCGGGCCATATCCGGCCCCCCAGACCTCGACTGATGGCCCGCGGAGCCGCCGCCAGCCTTGCAGCCTCCCCCCCCTTTTTTTTCAATGAATTTACTCCGTGCCTGCACGGAGTAAATTCATTGAAAAAATGGCTCAAGTTAACAAGGCTACGTCCTCCTTCCGATTGGCTGTGGCGCTGTCACTCCTTTCCTCTCCCTCCGCCCCCCGCTCCCCCTCCCTCCCTCCCGTGCCTGTTCCTCGCTCGCTCTCAGCCTGAGGCGAGAGCCGTTCCCAAGGCCGCGCGAGGAGGGGGCTCCGCGCCGCCTCTGTCGCCCCGAGGGGAAGGGAAGGGAAGGGGAGCGGTGGGAGTTCCTGGCCGGGCTCCGAGGCGGAGGGAGGCGATGCTGGGGGGACGCGGGAGGCAGCGGCCAGCGCGGCCCTGAGGAGAGGGAGAGAAGAGGGAACGCAGAGCGATGCGCCGGCCCTGCAGCACAACGGCCAGGTCGAACGGCCGCCTCCGACGTTGCCCAACCGGGGCTTAGGTAGGTTAGGACGGCCGCCCGGGACCCAGCTGC